AATAATCCTCTTTTTCTCTCTCCAGCTATGGGTAAATAGCAGGACAGGCTGGGTTCTATAGCCTTGGATGGCAGCTGGTCTAAGAGAAGGACAACTCTGAATTCAAAACCTGCGGAGACCTAATTGAGCTAGGGTCAATGAGATGTAATGTGAGTCTTCTTGTTAGGTATGTTGTAATATATCCAATATAATCATTTATATACTTGTATTGATCAGGAACACAGTTTCTTAAGGAATATGTGAATTCATAAATAATATTGATTTTCTGTAATTTGGATTATATATATATATATATATTGAGTGTATCAGTGATGCTGTTATTAGCTGGATTTTGATCTGAAATTTTCACTGTATAATGTTTGATCTATGTGATTAACATTCACCACTTAATTAAGTGTATTTGCAAAGAAGGAATATTTTGTTGGAAAATAAATATTTGTTGTGGAAAATAGAAGCTTTTTTATTATCAATAGACTGAAGAATGCATGTTGAAAAATTCACTTCACAAAATCCTGACCAAATTAACAGACATCAGAATTTCTTTTGAAATCCTTTTTGGTTGAAGAGAGCATTTTTCAGCATCCCATTGTATTGATGTACCCATATGCATACAGTGAAAACTGACCTAACTGAGGATTGTGGCAGAAATCTGACTATTTATAGGGTTCGTGTTTGCTCTTTAAAAAAAGGACTTATTGATTTATCCATTAATATTATCCTTCATTGCTGTGAACTGAAAGCCTGACATAGATATACTTTCATAGACAAAGTCTTTGCAGTAAGCATGGCTGACAGAAAAAGATTGAAGCTCACATTTTATTTAAATTAAATAAAATTTCAAATTGAAAGCAAATGGCTGCTGATTTTTCATTCGAGAATGAATCCCACATCAAAAGCAAACATATCTTTTTTTTTTCTCTTTCTTTTTTTCCTGTCTGGGTTGTCTCCCTTTTATTTTACCAGCAATATCAAACTGACAATCAATACTACCTTAAACTATTAGAATTGTATGGGTACCAAATATACAGCAGCCATAGCAGCAGTGGGTAAGACTAGGGCAAGATAGCATGATGGAAACTATCCATCCTCATGCTGGTTTTCATTTCAGAACTGTCCTCCTTCTAAATTGGTTGCCCTACCAAGTCTAAAGAGATCAGTCTGCTTGACTGAATACAGGGTGTTTGAAATTAGTTATTTTTTTCTCCTAGACTGTTTGCCCTACCAAAGCTAAAGAACCCAGTCTGCCTGATTAATTATGGGCAGGGCCAGATTATGACCTTTTGGAACCACTAGGCTAATGAAATTATGGGGTCTCCTTCAGACAGAGTCACCCTCTAATTCATCCACACCCCTCTTGGATATTTCTTACTCGTGTTATATTTTAGCAACATTTACACTTACTCTGAAGTAAACTTATTACAAATTCTTTAAATAAACTAGAATAGCTATCTTTTGTTTGTCAATAAAAAAATATTCTTTAACAAATACCAATATTTTACTATTTACTACAAACCAAATTAGTACATAACCATACTTTTTTATAACCAGCATTATGACAATAAAAAAATCAAAATAAATATGAGTTTGTCATCCTGATATCATTTCAGTTTGTGAAACTATTTAAAATTTATAATATCCAGAAAATTAAAATCACTGCTTTATAAAAGTTTCTAAAATTTAAACATTCTGAAATAAATCAAATATGTTATCTACTTGAAAAACAATGACACAAATTAAAAAATTCATTTCAGTTTCAGAAATTATTTAGAAGTTATAAAATCTAAAAAATTAAAATCATTGCTTCATAAAAGCTTGAGATACCCTAAGCTGCAGATTAAAGGATAATCTGGCCCTGGTTATAGATGTTTTAATTTTTCATTCTCCTAGACTGGTTGTTTTACCAAGGCTAAAGAGTCCAGTTTACCCAATTCAGAGACATCCTCTCCTAAACTGGTTACCCAACCAAGGTTGAAGAACCCAGCCTGGATCAATTAGTTATGCATGGTTGAATTTAGATTTTTTCTTTTCACAGACTGGTTTTCCTACTAAGGCTAAAGAACCCAGTTTACCTTGTTATTTATAAGGGTTTGAATGCAAAGTTTTATGTCTTCTAGACTGGCTGCCACTCAATGCAAGTGAGTCCAATCTTACCTGATATTTAATCCATTACTGGAGAAAGATGTGTTTCAGCCTTTTCCAAAGGCATTAGTGTGAAATGAATGAAACAGAGTAGAGCAGCATTTGAAATCTGCATGCCAATCCATACATCATTCCTTTTTTCTCTTTCTATTTTTCTGGTCTGGGTTGTTTTCCTTTTTTTTACTAGCAAGGGTACCAAATATACAGAAATCATAGCAACAGTGGGTGTGTCTAAGGCAAGACAGCCTGATGGAGTCCATATGTCTTCAGGCTGGGTTTCATTTTAGAGCTGTCCTTCTTCTAGATTATTTACCCTACAAAGGCTAAAGAATATAGTCAGCCCAATTAGTTACAAGGATTTTAATTCAGTGTTTACCTTCTACTTGATTGGTTGCCCCTACCAAGGCTAGAGAACCCTGTCTACACAATTAGTAAGGCATTTTCTTTCTCCTAGATTGGTTGCCCTAGCAAGACTAGAGAGCCTAGTATAATCTATTATTAACAGGGGTTTTCTTTTTCCTAGAATGGTTGCCCTACTAAAGCTAAAAAACCCAGTTTACCCTGTTATTTATGAGGGGCTGAATTTGTTTTTTGCATTGACTGGTTGACAGGAGCCCAGTCTATTATATACAAACTGTAAATATTTACATGATTCGTTCTTTGATCTCTATTGGGTACCCAGGTTTGTTTTCTTATATCAGACTATGACTAAATATTTGATTGGTTGTTTGATTTCTACTCTTCTATTTTACCCATTGTGAGAAAAAGATGGATCCATGCCTTTTCCAAGGCTATTAGTGTGAAGGGAATGAGACAGGTTCAATCTGAATTTGAACTGATAACCAATACAGTACTGGTATATTCCTGCTGTATATTTAGAAGATTAGCAGTACACTTGTACAAGAGTTCCATGCATGTATAGCATATACCTTCAAAATCATGCACACTTTCAACACATGAAGCAAGTAATATTTTTTATGAAATCTAATTAATTAATACTTAAAGTTACTATTTTTCTTTGGAACGTATGTCTAGAATTGATATTTGAATTTTAAGAGATTTTTAAAGTGTTTTAATTTCTTTTTTGTCGATCAAATTCACTAATTGAATTCGATTGAAACGAGTTTCTTTTTCCTTTTTGATTTATAAGAATGTCTAAAATCTTTATTTAAGGACATAAAATACTTCTTTTTTTTTTCACGATTAATTTTTTGGCTATTACCTTTCAAATAAAACCACAATTTAACTTCAAAGAAAACATTTAAATTATTTAAAATACATTTTTCTTCATTTTTTAAAAGTTAATGTTAATTTTAACACCTCCAAAGCAAAACTGCTTTCTATTAATCATCTGGAGGATTTCTTTCTACCTTCTACCAATATGGCTGGTGCTAACTTCCAGGAGAGTAACTCATTGCATTAGCTAATGTTTCCTGCTGACATGAAATGAAAAGATTATATTCAATTAATTGCTAGGTTTGCTGCTAAGTTAACTCACTGTGTTATGTTAGACAGATTTTCTTGCCCAAATCCATCTCATGTATTTATAAGTCTACCATTAATCCTTGCTTTGAATATTGGTACCACATATGATCTGGTGCTTCTTCTATATATTTAGAGATCTTTAATAAAATCCAAAGAAGAATATACAATGTCATTGGTTCTGGCCTGGCATCTTGGCTTTAATCAGTTTCCTGTTGCCAGTATTGTATCATATTTATGGCCTTAGCTATTTGGCAAGCAACTTTAGTACACTAAGAGAGTTTGATCTCTACTGGGTACCCAAATTTGTTTTCTTATATCAGACTATGGCAAACTCTAAATATTTACATTATAAGTTGTTTGATCTCTACTGGGTACCCAAATTTGTTTTCTTATATCAGAATATTTGCATGATTGGTTGTTGGTCAGTGAACAAGTTTGACAAGACCATTACTTTAATATGTGAATTTAATCCTCACTAGATGTCCCATATATACAGACTTGTTTTAAACCAAAGTTAGAAAATGTTTAGGCACCTTGCTGCAAAATAATGTTTAGCATAATAATTTACTGTACAGTGACATCAATTTGTACTTGATGTTTCATTTTTTGACCTTGTGTCAGACTAACCTAAGCTTAGTAAATGTATTCCTAGAGCCTTCTTTCATTCTCAAGTGCCATTTTAAATTCTAATTTCTCTGTTTAACTTTTCTTGCATATTTTTAATATTACAAAGTGAAGATGTGGCTAAACCACATTTGCAAAAAGACAAAATGCATGGAAATCCAAAGGTACATTGAGATAGTGAAAGATGCCTTCTGAAAGCTAAGCAAAATATTAAGAAAGAGGAAAATTTCATTAGAAACAAAGAAAAGAGTACTGAACTGTTACATATCAGTTCTCCTATATGGCAATGAATGCTGAACAGTTTCCTCAAAGATGAAGAGGAAACTTGAAGTAACAGAAATGTGATTCTACAGAGGGATACTGAGAATACTATGGACTGAACATGTGAGCAATGTTTTAGAGAAAATAGAAATGAAAAGGACACTTATAGTTAACATTAGGAAGAAATAATTAAAATAGAAAAGATGGCTTGGTTGATTTATTGATTCCTTTTTGATGGCTTATCAACCCATTGCTGGTTATTTAAAGCTAGAAAATATTTATTTAGATTGTAAGAATTTTTTTTAGATAATAATGATTTAGTAATATAAGGCTTACTAATTAACCCATAGCTGTGGGGAAACAGGTGGATTTATAGCATTCCTAAGTTTATTTGTGTGAAAGTGAATATAACAAACCCAACTGGAATTGGAACTCTGCTATCCGATTAATAATTCCAAGCTCTTATCCATTACGCCATCTGCGCATCCAAGCTTACAACACCTTGTATTTCCAAGTGGTCACCCATCTTAGTATTGACAAGGCTCGATGTTGCTTAAGTTTGGTGATTGTATGGGAAATGGTGTTTCAATGTAATATGGCCGTAAATTTGATACTCATAAGACATATTGAATGCAAGAGGGGCACAATGTGTAACCTAAATAGCGAGCTGAAGTAAATGTTTGGTGGAACAAGGTTTAAGAGAGATAACAGAAAGACAAAATATATTAAGAGTTACAAAGGACAGGAAATTGTGGAGAGCCATAATCACCAACATTAGCATATATTATAATTAGTATATAAGTTGGTCATTATTTTTATTTAATATTACAGTATTAGCAAGTTACATTAGGTAAAATTACTGGTGGTTTATGGAATCTGGGTAAATATGGATTTTGATCTGCTTTGTCCACTGCTGATATCCTAACTGTCTTTATGCAAAGAATCAGTGGGGCATTAGACAATAAATACATCACAAGGTCTTTGACAAGGTGTGGCATAGGGGTTCACTACACAAACTATCCAGCTATGAAATCTTTCGCAATTATCAACACCTGCCTAGCAGGTATGACCATGAAGGTCATTGTTAATGGCTAGTTCTCCGAGGCCCATGAGATCAATAGTGGTGTCTCCCAAAGCCTGATTCTCGATCATACCCTCTTTACAGTGGTGTGCAGTGGTTTGGTGATGCCTGAGATCAATTCTTTGATTGTATGACTCAAGTAGGAGGTGGGGCTGTAGGGATCAGTATTGAGGAACGTGAGAAAGGAAGACATTTTAAATATGTAAAAACAGATGAAACATGAAATAAACACATTATTTCAAATTTCAAGAACTAAATTTTTATTTCAGTCTTTGACTGGATGCCTTCCTGATATGGATGCCCAAGGCTGCTACACCCCATTCTGCACCCTACTGCCTCTTTATGCTTTATATTTACCATCTACCTAAGAGCATACTCTGCTCTTTAGTGCATATCTATGCAAATGATACCATAATATTTAGGTGCACCTACAAAAGTCTAGATGAACAGAGTCTGGTAGTTAATCTCTTCTCTGACTAAGAACAGCTCAATTGGGGAAAAACTGACTTGTCAAGTTTAGTACCACAAAAACCAAACTATTGATGTTCTATCATTACCAAGTAGACCCTGAATTTTCACCTATAACAATGAACAGTGTCCTCTTAAGTCAGTCATTTGCCTTGAATGCCTATTATGACTTAAATATAACATATATACAATCCATCGCTAAAAAGGCTGGAAAAATCTGTAAGTACCTGACTTCTCCTGCTATCCTCTACCTTTACAAGAGCCAGATCACCCACCCCAAAATGGAGTACTGCTGTCATATATTAGCAGGACCTGCCCAATCTTCACTTTCCAGTCTTGATAGTGTCCAATTATAACATATTATCTATCATCTCGCAATTGTATCTTTGTCTTTAGGCAGAGTGCACACAGGGGTGACTTTTTCAAAGTACAGAGTCTCAACTGAGGAAAGTTATACTGAGAGGTGGCCAGCCCTGGGGAACATCTGCCCAAGGCTGCACCCTCTCATTGCACCAGAGAGAGAGGGATCGGTGCTCACATCGAGGCCAGTGCAACCAACGGTTGCAGGGGTTGTGGGTAATTTTTGTTCCCGGCTCGGGTGTACATGCCTGAGTCCCCACCTTTAAAAAAAGACCTTGTATCACAACTCGTGGGGAGACAGATTAAATACCTAGTGTCCAAAAGGGTCTGTGTGGCCTTGTGGGTGATGAATTATTTTCCATATAGAACCCCTTTCTTACAGATCAAACATTGCAATCCTCTCACTACTCTATGGCTATTTCCATGGCAAATGTTCAGATGAGCTATGTTGCATTGCTCTATGAGTTCTAACTTCTACAAGTTCTAAGTCCCACAAGGAACACCAACCATGCTGTATATTCTGATGCAAACCACCCTTATTCCCTTTGTATTCGATTAGTGAGAAGTAAGTTTTCAACAGCTTCTTCCCATGAACCAATTGTTTGTGGAACCAACTCCCAAGAAGTTGCTTTCCTGAACGCTATAATCTTAATCTGGTCAAGTCTAGGATTAACCATTATCTTTCATATATATCTTCATAAACTTGTGCCTTTTACTTCTTGGGCAACAAACTCCTTCATTAACCCGTCTACCTTGAGTGGCTCATGGGCCTTGTATAGTGTGAATATTAGTAAAATATATAAAAAGCATTGTAATTCTCAATGGGATGTGGACATATATATTTGTATATGTTGTAGCCTAGAAAGGGTTACTGCATGAGGAATAATCAAAATGGAGGTTGGAAATGAAATGGTAATCTTTATAACATCAACAGAAGACAATACTTGCCAGTGGCGTGAAGTAGGTAAACCACTGCTAGAGGTGGACTACTTAGGTAGCATATTAACGCTACTTACAATAGTGTCCAATGTATTTATGAGGATTGGGACATACCCATTAGTGTTCATAGGTACGGTATATAACAGTATATAAAGAAGTGATGGATTTTTATCTATTAATCCAACAGATTTTATTACTTAAACATTATTTTTAGTGGATATTCATATTTCAGTAGATGCTTCATCTATTTATTAAACACTATATTTATTTATTTTTGTTTAAAAGCCTGAATATTCGAGAAAATCTTATGAAACAAAAATATGGGGTCTTTGGCAGGATTCAAACCAGTGTCTCCTTTGATCCAACATGCTTTAGACTGACTTGGCCACGGAGTGCGTTGTTGAGCAAGCAAAGTTAAATAGTGCCTTATAAATGCAAATCTTTCTCCAACTCTCAAAACATTCATATCTACTTAATTTATTGCTCTTTTTTGTTTCTCTTCATTAATAATTTTTCTGTTCCAAATTTCTCAACACCCTGTAAGCTTTTGCATGCTAGCAGCTGTACTGTCTTGCTTGGGATGATACTGATTAAAAAATTCCCCAAAAACAATACAAATTTTAAAGAAATGATGGATTTTATTTATTAATCTGACAGATCTTATTACTTTAAACCTTATTTTTGTAGATGCTCTGTTTAATTTACTTTTTATATATATATATATATATATATATATATATATATATAAAAGTTTACTTGTGATGAATTTCGTCCTTCAGGAAATTTAGTCCTATGAAGTCCTAAAGGACAAAGTGCATCACAAGTAAACTTTATTCACTTTGTCATGCAATTTCCCATGAAATGACTAAGTGAATAAAGTGATATATATATATATGGAAATTGGTGTATATATATATATATATATATATATATATATATATATATATATATATATATATGGGAAATTGCATGACTGAATAAAGTTTACTTGTGATGCACTTTGTCCTTTAGGACTTCATAGGACTAAATTTCCTGAAGGACGAAATTCATCACAAGTAAACTTTTTTCACAATTTCCCCATTCTTGATATTTTAAAAATATATAGTTATCTCATGAGCCTTATAAACACAAATTTTTCCTACACTTTCAATACATTCATATCTGCTCAGTTTTGTATCCTAATGTGAACAAAGCAATTTCTAAAAAAAAGTGGTGGATTTCTATCTATTAGAATTTTATTATTTCAAACAGTGTTTTTAGTGGATGCCCATATTTGAATAGATGCTCTGTTTGATTATTAAACAGTATATTTATTTATTTCCATCTATTGGGTTGAATATTTAAAAAAATCTTATTAAAGAAAAATATATGCTCTCTGGCAGGATTTGAACCTGTGTTCCTCCTGGCAGGAGAAACTGTCATTAGATATGAAATGCTTTTGACCAACTCTGCCACAGTATGCATTGTTGATTGAGCAAAGTTAAATAGCACCAAGGAGAACACGGGTTTTCTTTCTTTTGCTGAGAACAATATATTGCAATTTGAGTACTGATTTTAATATATATAATTCCAGTATGAGACAAAGTGGAAATATTTTACAGATGATGCATTTCCCCCTTCATGTGGTTGATGTCTTCAGATGAGAATGAAAGACAAATCTGTGCGTAAGGAAAGTGTGTGGAATTTTTTTTTCTTCTGAGGTAATGCTAATAAATAACATTATCAGATTCTGCAGGCAGAATGTTCTCTTTTTTTCTGTGTATTGAAACAGTCAATGTCTGCTGGATTTGAAATTAGCAAACTCCAAGTAGATCTCACTTTCTCTTTTAATTTCTATACCACTTTGTGTTACTATTGTTTTCTTTTGTATACAAGCTTCATCTAAGGTTGACCATAGAGAATTCTGAGATGGGTGCACGTTCAATGCATTTTCCTTATCATGGATTCTGATCAGACTGACATTTATTAAGTCAAAAATTGTATGATATATTCCAGTAAACTACTAGTGAATTTGAAGTGTTGTTAAGCAGCATATCTCCCAGCAATTCTCATATAGGCTTTTTTTTTTTAGATATCCAGGTATATATGATTGGGTATTTCAGGCAGTCTATTTACCATATTCCTACCTCTGTTTTGTTGTTGCCATTTCATTTAGTGTTGACTATGTCTTTTATTGTTTTAGAGGTGGTGTTCATCAATTTTAGATCAAGGTTGGATAAGTTATTTTCAATGGTGGCTTTTATGGAGATGGTAGTCAGTCAATGTTGAAATGTTGTCTTTGTTTAAAGTAGCCTAGAATAAGGAAGGTCCTAGTTAGAGAGAGTATCAAAGGAACAGAAGACTAGGTAGGGAAAACAGAAAGTGGTTTATTAAATACTTACACACAGAACAGAAAAAAACTTGAGTAAATCGACTACTCAAATCCTACTCTAATGTGGCTACTTGCCATATTTATAAGTAGGAAGAGTCCATTGTCACAGTAATAGGGAAGAGCAGGAAGTACTAATCTACAACAGTTGGTTGTTTTAGTTCAGTGGCATATCAACCTGTATGGATTATTTAATGCCAAACTCTAAATACGAAAAATTCAAACTTTATAATTACTTCATGAGACTGACGTTATTTCATGATTAAATTAGCTGCATTTTTTACCAAATAATCTTACAAAATCAGCCGATGTTGAATTGTTGTCTTTGTTTAAAGTAGCCGAGAATTAGGAAGCTCCTAGTTAGAGAGAGTATCAAAGGAACAGAAGA